TTGTTGCAAAGGGTAGTAGCTCCTTCTTTCTCTCTGCGGCATAGAATTCCATTGTGTATATGTACCACAATTTTTGGATCCATTCATTTACTGATGGGCACCTAGGTTGCTTCCAACTCTTGGCTATTGTAAATTGTGCTGCTATGAACATTGTGGTGCATAGGTTCTTTGATATTGATGTTTTAGGATTCTTAGGATATAATCCCAGCAGTGGAATTGCTGGGTCAAAAGGCAGGTCGATTTTTATTTTTCTGAGAAAATTCCATACTGTTTTCCATAATGGTTGTACCAGTCTGCAATCCCACCAACAGTGAACTAAGGACCCCTTTCAATTCACTTTTGATGAATGAATGAATGAATGAATGAATGAATGAATGAATAAATAAGTGTACTTGGAGAACTCACTGTTTTAAATTAGAACTTAAAAGTAATAATTTTGATGTTGAAAAATTATCTTGTAAAATTGCTATTGTTAATCTTCAATGTTCACAATTAGACCTAATTCTAGTCTTTGTAAAATGTATATGGCATAGTGAGAATATATTGCTTAATTTGGAAAAGATATAATCTATTTTCAATTAATTCAAAGAAACTATTTCAACAAAAGAGATGATCTTTAGGTTTGTAAGATTTCTATTTCTGTACTTCTCCAGGATCATTTTCTTATACTAAATTTTCATCGAAATTTGCAAAAAATTAATGTTAATTATAGAAATAAGGGAACTGTTGAGAATAGAGAGAAAAATTAACCATGAACAGTTGTGAGATAAAAACACATATATTTAAACACACAAACTTCCCTGTCATATTCATTTAGAAGTTTGTTTCCTTCATAAATCTTGCTTTTATCATCTAAGAGTTGATGTTAATTATTCTTCTAAACTTTTATGTCCTGTTTTCTTTATTTCTGAAAATAGGAGTATTACAGGGTATTGAAAACAAGCCTTGATTTGTAGTTCTTATTCATTTTTATCATGTAAAGATTCCTATTTCTTTCTTTTTAAATTTTTCTAAAATTTATTTATTTATTTATTTTTAGAGAGAGGGCAAGGGAAGGAGAAAGAGAGGGAGAGAAACATCAATGTGTGGTTGCCTCTCTAGTGCCCTCTGCTGGGGACCCAGACTCAAACCCAGGCATGTAGCCTGACTGGGAATCAAACCAGTGACCCTTTAGTTTGCAGGCCCATGATCAATCCACTGAGCTACATCAACCAGGGCCAATATTCCTATTTCTGACATCAGGCCTCCCATAGTTCCAGAATATTCAGCAATAGCTCCCTAGGTATGGTGTAAGTCAACTCGAGCCCATAATTGTTTGGATAGTGTTTGGAGTGAAGATACAGAGACTATTTAGAGGGTCATAGAAGTAGTAATCTAAGCAAGAGATAAATAGACTAAATTAAGATACTCTAAAGAAGAGAGACAAAGCCCTGGCTGGTGTACCTCAGTGGATTGAGCATGGGCCTGTGAACCAGAGTATCGCGGTTTGATTCCCAGTCAGGGCACATGCCTGGGTTGCAGGCCAGTTCCCAGTGGGACATGCATGAGAGGCAACCATACATTGACATTTCTCTCCTTTTCTCCTTCCCTTCCCCTCTGAAGATAAATAAAGAAATCTTTTTTAAAAAAAGAAGAGAGACAGTCTCCAAATAGAATAGATAAGAGGGAGCTCATAAGGAAATAATCCTTTCTCGGGTCTTTATCTCCCTCATACGGATGTTGGGCTGCTGTGTTCAGAGGGCTAGCCTGTTGGTACAGGGAATATTGTCCTAAATAGGGTGGATATTTTCTTTACCAATCATCCAATTTGAAAATACATCTTGTAGTAGGAAATGGGTCTTATGTTGTGGGTCTTTATTAAGAGGTACAGGGAATTCAATGGTCTCTTGTGCCTGAACACTATGGCACTGTCGTCTAAATTAAGTCAAGGCAGTTGGCAAAACAAAATAAAATTCCTATGTATTTTATTGACTGACATGTCAAATATATGTGTGCATGTGTCAGTATACTAATATGTCTATCACAGAACATACAAACATACATTTTCAAAGGAAGATATAATAATAGGTGCAGTGAAGTTCTGCTACTTCCATTCTTCACCCAGTGGATTATTTCTTGTATGCCTTGTGTGTTATGTACTGTTCCTTAGAAATCCCTGAGAGTAGAATGGGGATTGATGCTGCCACATGGTGACCTTGTCATAGCCAGAAAGCTGCCTACTAAAGGCTTCTGTGGAAACGTACTGGGTTTTGTGGTTTCATAAAACAATCAACTTTGGTGGGCCAATTTTACATTAAGTTCTGTATTCTTGTTTCCATCTTCCATCCCCAAGTTTCTTAATAAATGTTACAGTCTACTTTTTACCTCTTCTCCATGGAGTTAGAAGTCCCATGTCCAAAATTGCACTCAACAATTCAAAAGGTAGGTAGGTCAAAGCAGAGAATATTATTTACATAGTTACTCATTCATTTGATAAACATTTACTGATCCCTTCATGTACCAAGTCCTGTTCCAGGGGTTGCAAATTAGCCTGGAAAAAAGCATTCAAAAGCATCTGCCTTCTCAGAGCTTCTATTATTGTGATAGGAAAAGCACTCCAGAAAAGGGGAGTGGAACAAGGTCAGAGGCTATGAGACAGGAATGTGCTTAGTATGTTGGGAACAACAAAGAAACCACTGTGGCTGGAGTAGTCTGAACTTAAATAAGTAAAAGGAGTTGAGGTTAGAGAAGTAAAGGGTAGAGGTGAGGAGGAGTAGGGTCACAGATTAGGCAGGGCCATGTATGCATTATAAGAAATTTAGTTTTTCCTGTGAGGGATTTAGGAAATCCTTGGCAAATTTTCAGCAGAATGTTACATCATCTGAAAGCATTTTAACTGGATCATTCAGGCTGCTCAGTCTCAAAAATACTAGGGCAAAGGTGGTTTATAAGGGCAGATGCACAAAGACCAGTCAAAATTCTACTATGAAATTAATTAAAGTAAAATAATGCAGTTGAGAGAAATGATGTTAATCTGGACTACAAGGAAATCAGTGGTCAAATTCTGTATGTATTTTGGAAGTAGTGCACTCAGGTTTTGCTAAATAATTAGCAAAAGTTAGGAGTGAGATGCCAGTAGAGTCTCCAGGCAACTCAATACACCAGACTGAAGTTCGGTATGGACTAGACTGAAACTTCAGTCTTGGAGTTGGTAGCATATAGATGTTATTGAGAGTCATGGGAATGAATGAGATCACCCAGAAGCAAATATGGATAGGGGAAGAAATCAAATGGATTCTGGATATATTTCATAGTTAGAATTGAAAGGATTTACTTGCAGTTTAAATGTGAATGTTAAAGGTATGATTCAAAAGTGAATCTGAGGATTTTGGAGAAAATTAAGCTGTTGATCCTGGGGATCCTCAATACTGGCAATAAAGAGGAATCCAGGAAACTAGACTGAGAAGAAATGGTTAGAAAGGAAGAAACCAACCAGTGCGATGTCTTAGAATCCGAGTGAAGAAAGTGTTTCAAGGAACAACTGTCCTCAAAACCTATGTTAAATACTACTAGATTAATATGAAAAGTGAGTAATGACAATTGAATTTCACATGATGGCAATCATGATCAATTGTTCTGAAAATAGTATTGACTGAGAGAGGGGAACAAAAGGGTGATGATAGGTATAACTTTAAGTGGTAACAGAGGAAGAGACATTATAAAATTATAGACAATGAAAGGAGTTTTGCTATAAAGAAGAAAAATGAGGCAATGGTTGCAGAAGAGGTGTTGTCTATTTTTTTGTTTGTTTTTAGGATGAAAAAATGCTAGCATATACGCTAATAAGAATTAATTAACAGGGAATGAAACTTGAAAGACCCATGAGAAAGCAAGAGAGAGGGTATTGCTGAAGCAGTGTTCATGGATAGGCTACAGAAGATGGGTTTTGGTACAAGAGAAGTGCTGGCCTTTCCTAGAAACATGAACAGGAGAGAAAATAAAGTGTTTTTTTGGCAAGGTGTGGGTGAGTGGGTCTTGGAAGCCTATAGAATCTCTTTTCTGATTAATTCTGCTTTCTCAATGGATAAGGAAATCAGTTCATCAGCCAAGAATAAGTTTAAAGAGAGAAGATAAGCAATAGTCAAGGAAGATATGAAATGGATCAGAAAAATATCTAAGGATTGCTGGGAAGTGTACTCATCCTCTTCACGCAGATTGAGACAAGACAGCATGGTCTTGTTTTTTTTTTTTTTTTCCTGTAGTCACATTCAGTGGCTTAGGACAGACAAGTTTGATTTGGAGTTTTAACTAGGACTATGGCTTAGGCAGACAGAAAAAAAAAAAAGAATGGGGGCAAATGTATGTGGGAGTGATTATGATTAACCATAGAACTTAATCTAGTTAGGTAGGTGAGTTCAGAGTGGAGTTGCCAAGGTCCCTGAGAGGTAGCAGATTAATGAACTGACTGTAGATGCAATGAGTTGGAAGAATTTGAAGTTTTGTCATGAAAGTGAGCTGGAATATGAGAGGCAGTTTTCAAAAGTATGTTTGAAATTGAAATTATGGTGGGATTTTGATGATTGTTAGAAACGAATTGTATGAGGTGAACATGCTGGTGAGTCTGGACGGCAAGATCACAGAAGTAGATCTGTCCGAACCACAAGAGGAAGGGGCATTTTAAGAAAGTTGTGAGGTGTCAACCCAAAGTCTCTCCAAGCAACAGAAAGACTAAATGTGACAGTTTCAGATCGTAGGCGAGAACCTGGGTCTGGGCACCCCAGAGACCAGGTCGCAGCCACAGGGGCTCCAGGATCTAAGCGTTTGTGAGGAAAGCAAGGCTGGAGTGTCGCTCCAGGCACGTGACCCAGTTGGTTTCTGGCCACTGGCCAACTTCCTGTCTCTGCCTGCTCGGCCTCTGGGACTGGGGCCCACGAGCCTGGGGCCTGGCAGAAGGGCATTCCGGGTTGTTAGGAATCACAGAAACGTCCTAGTCCGACTAGAGGACAGTTTCTTGCATTGCCATGAAGAAGCGTTTTACTTTGTGGAGAAGGAATGATGAGCCCTACACTCCCTCCTCACACCTGCTCCGGCGTCAGGCCAGTACTGGTCCACACACCCAGCCAGGCTACAACCTTCGAGATAAGGATTTAAAGAAACTTCATAAAGCTGCTGCAGTTGGGGATTTGGAAAAAGTGAAAGAGTACCTGCAGCTCAAGAAACATGACGTGAACATTCAAGATAGAGAATACAGGTGACCAGAGTGATGAAGGGTAGCGTGGATGGGAAGCTGGAACCACTGGAGCCACTGGGGACTCTAACTAGAAGCATGACTTAACTGGGTTACCCAACTGGTTGTGACTCCTGGCTTCCCATAGCAGAGAGTTTTGGTAGCCACTGGCAGAGGGTCACATTCCGAACTTTCATCTTGTTATTTTTTTAAGTGCTTACCTGGATATTGGAAGGCATTTGTGTTCTCTCTGATTCTCTTCACTCCTCCCATTGCCTTAATCTCCCTTGGGTATTCTACCTTTTCCCCAATCCTGCTATTTTTTCCTATAGAGCATATTATCCCATCACCTAAGATTTACCATATAACTAATGTACTGATTGGAAAAGAGTAGCGGTGACTTCCCAGAACAATGGTTATGAAGATTGAGACATTGAAAGAGCAAAACAGTTAACTCTATAGTGTGAATCTTCTATGACATTTTTTTTCAGTTGCAGAGTATCTTCAAAAACCCCATCAACACCACTTAATAGACAACAAAATTAATTTTATATTTTAAGAAATAAAAGTTAATTGCTTGGTATTAATAATAGAAAATATGTACTATCTGTGTCTACGTTAAAATATTTTATGCAGTTTTTAAGTCATAGGGTATGAAAAATGTCATTTTTCATTATAATTGGGTAACTGGAAACCTATGATTAGAAAGATGACATATCATCCTTCTAATCTGATATAGTTTTACCTCCTCTTTAACAAAAACAGTTATATAATTTACCTTTTATCCTAAATCACTCCATTGAATTACTTTACAAGGTCATGGGTAACCTCAGTGTGACTTCATTCAGTAGTCAATTCTCAGTCTTACCTGACTGGACTCTTAGACAAGTATCTTACTTGACCTATCCTTTCTTTCTCTCTTCACTTGCCTCGTGAAGAGAGATCAACTTTAAATATCTATATTCCAAATCTTTTTATTTCCAGGTATATCTTTCCCCTGAACTCTAGACTTATATAAGTGCTGTACTTCTGCTTAGATATCTAATAGACTGTGGTATGCTCCTAAATGTTCAATAACAAACACTTGGGGGATGGAGGTGGAGAGAAGAAAAGCCCTGATTTCCAGCTACCAATGTCAACTGGCTCTAATGATTCTTGAAAATTTAGAATGTAAATGAATCTTAAAAATTTAACAGTTGGGTCATGAAAGCCACAGACTCCACCACATTGCTGATCAGGCATCTCAAACATCCCCAAACTATACTCCTGTTTTCCCTCAGATCTGCTCATCTGCTTTTATAAATGCCAAATCCTTTTTTCAGTTGTTTAGGCCAGAAACCCCAGGCTCATTCTTTACTCCTCTCATTATTTCACATTCTCCATCCGATTCAACAGAAACTCTTGCAGGCTCCACTTTCAAAATCTAACTAAATTTCAACAATTTCTAGCCTCTTCCGTTACCCTTCTAATCAAAGCCACCATCATGTCCTAACCAGAATTACTACAGTGGCCTCCTAACTAATTTTCTTTTAACCTTTTCAGTTTATTCTCAATATAGTAGCCAGGATGATCAAATATACACTGTATGTCAAATGATGTCATTGCTCATCTTAAGAACTTCCACTGGCTTTCCATCTCACCCCTGCCTGTTATCCTCTTGATCTTATTTCCCACAACTCTCCCTTTCATTCATCTCCAGCTACCCTGGCCTCCTTAGCATTCCACAGAAATGCATTTAGGTTTTTGGACTTGCTGTACACTTTGCCAGGAGTGCTTTCCTCCCCAGAGATTCACATGGCTTTCCCTCCCATTTCCTTTAGGTGTTCATTTGTCACCTTGTCAGTGAGGTTCCCTGGCTACTCTACATCCAGTTGTAGCCTGTCTGTTTGCTGATATTTCCTACCCTTCTTCCCTGCCTGGTTTGTGTTTTTAGTAATTAATACCATTTAGCCTACTTTGAATTTTAAGTTTTATATTTACCTCTTCAGCTAGCATATATGATCCATAGGAGCAGGTATTTTGTCTGTTTTGTTTGCATGGTATCCTCACCATCTAGAAACCTGCCTAACTGTAGTAAGTGGTAAATACTTTTTGATGAATGAGTGCATATATCCATACATAGATAAATAGGATAATTTAAAGATACTATTCAGAAATAAAAGGATATTTTTATTAATAAATAAGTGAATTACTGATATATTCAACAAGGTGGATGAATCTTAAAACTGTCATGCTATATGAAAGAAGGCAGACACAAAAGATTTATATTAAATAACACCATTTATATAAAATTCTTAAAAAGCCAAAAGCTACCTACAGAATGAAAATTACATGTTAGCTGGGATACCAGATGAAGAGGGGAAAATGGTATTGATTGTAAATAAGCATGAGAAAACATTTTAGAGCAATGGAAATGTTCTTTATTATGATTATGATGATGTTTATATGACTGTGTATTGGTTAAAACTAATAAAATCACACACTTAAATTTTATATATAAATTATATTTCAACATAACAAATTTCAAGCTGTATATTCTGTTTAAATATTTGTGTGTAGGGAAAGACAGATTGAGAATGAGAGAGATAAAATCTGAAAGGTTACATACTAAAATAAAATAACTATTTCTGATGAGAACGAGATTTGGGCAGAGGGAGTAGGTAGAATAAGAACGGTCCCTGGAGACTTTGCTTTGTGTTGCTTATGTCAAGTGTACTGCATCCAATAAGTTTTAAAATTAATAGCAGATATTTAATATTTCTTTCAGCTATAAAATTAAAGTATCTATATAGTTATTAATAAAAAACCCTCAGATCATATAGAGTCTGATGGGTGAAGGCTGAATTTTAAACTAATAGTTTTAGCCTCTAACTCTACCTCTACTCAGAACTAGATTAGATATAAAGTTCTCAGCCTATAATTGAAAATAATTTAATGGTCTAGTATGAGGTAGATTCTTTGGCTACTTCTTCACCTACTCAGGATCCTAAGCTATCAAGAATCCAACGAAGTCAGTTAATAAAAAGGGTATTTTTATGATAAAACCTAATAGAGGATTGCAGCTATGTTCTTGTGCTACACCAGGTATAGAAGGATAACACTTCATTTTGGCTTCTATAGTAATGACCTATACTTGACATCCATTCAATTCATGGCTTTAGCTTAAGTTGAATTAGAGATTTTTGGAATATGACAATTCTTCACCTGTCCACAATCTATGCCAACAATTCTTTCACAGATATTTGAGAAAGTGAGAAACTGGGAGAAAATCAAATTTGAATGAAAGAAAATGATACCAGCCAGACTGAAACTTTAGAAATGAACACTAGTCTTCACAGGAATTTAGATTTCTTGTAAGATAGGTACTACCAGTTAAAAAATAACATTATACCTTTGAAAGATGGCAGCAATGTAGGTGGGACCTGAGCCCACTTGCTTGTGCACCTAACTGGGACTCTTAGTCAATCTTCTGAAAAACAAAGTAAAGAGCCAGTAGAATCTTAGCTGATATGAAGTTTGGAAGCCAAAGTGTGTAAAGGATGCTTCAAAACAGGCAGTAAGGAGTTATTTTAGGCCGAGAGGAGGGTACCAGGGAACTCAGCTGCCACAGGGACATTGGAGGAGAGCTCCATTGGTGATAGCAGCCTAGCAGCTCCATCCCCTTCCAGGACAAGGAAGTCCCAGATCTGCACTAGGGAGGACCTGGATGCATAAAGTCACTGGGGATGAAAAAAAAAAGGCAACAAGCACATACACAGCTGGCAGCATACCCAGGTTGGGGTGACAGTCACTGGCTGGGATAGTGACAGAAAAATTTGAAGATCCTGGTGGCACCTACAGCTGGGAGAGGAGGTGAGCTGCTACTGACTGTGACCTAGAGAGAATCTGGACTTGTCAGAGAGTTGGAGTATATGGAAAGCTGGGGTCTGCAGCAGCAGTACCTAAAGAGACTTTTTTCAAAGGGAAACTGAGGTACACATGGCAGGGACTTCGTGGGTGCAGCAGTCAGGCAAACAAAGAGGGAAGAGTGTGGGCATAATTTGCTTCCACTCAGTGTCTCATAGACTGATTTAAAGGGTGCAAAGTGAGGTGGCTTATTGACATCAGCCTGGCACAAACCAGTAGAGCAGAGTTTGGGCTGCACAGTGCTCTGAGGGTGTGCACTGTAAATTGGCCACCTGAGATTATTATAGTTTAGACTGAGCCCCAAACACAGAAAATGTAAAATGGAGCCCAGCCCGCCTCTGCCTGCAGGAAAAAGTAAGATCTGAAAAACTGGTGGGGCAGGCTTAGCAATCAGCAGGAGGTTTTTTCTCTTCTTCTTTTCTTCAAGAGTAGTACAGTAAGTCCTGGAGCTGAGAGAAAACCAAAGACATTCAGAAATAAGTCAGAAAGCTAAAACCAACAGCTGAGACAGTTTTTTTCACTCTTCGTAAGAACTTGGAGGTTTTTTAAATTTTTTATTCTCCATGTTTATTTAGTTTTTTTGTTTGTTATTATTGTTTGGGTTTTTTATTCTCCCTTTCATATTGCACTTTAATTTTCCTTCTTTTCGCTCATATTCCAAATAACTCACTACTCTTGGTCTTTTACTTTTTATTCTTTTTATTCAGATTGTATATTTCTTATACTGTCGTTATTCCAACTCCCACACAGCACCCTTCCTTGATCTTAATCCATTTCACCATCTTCCTGAGCTTTAGTAGTGTTGGTGTAAGGGATTCTTTCGGCTTCTGTCCCTTACTCTCACTATTTCTCCTCCATCTAACTTCACATAAGCGCTCTACTTTCTTAAGTCAGCTCACATTCTTTTAACATCTTATGAGATTTTTATTTCTTTTCCACATTTAATAAACAGTGGCCTGTTGGGTGAAATAACACAGTTATTGCTATACTTCTCCAAAGGAACTCCCATTTGTTCATGATTTGTTTGTACTTTAAATCCCGTAGAATACTCTCCTGCTGTCTTATTCCATTTCACCTTCCCCCTAGCCCTGATCATTTGAATGAACAATTTTATTTCA